ATCTATATATATATTACTTATTTAATACGCAAGCAGATTTTTTGTGACAATTACTCCACCGAAACTACTGAACCGATTGTTGTTTTTGGTGTCATTGGAAAGAGCGTAACGTGAAGTTGTGCAGAAAACTTTCTTTTTAGGGAAATAATCAGAGAGTGAGGCCCTGGGGCCCTTTAAAGTTTCTTATTTCTCCATAAGATTAACATGGGAAACAAAAATTTTTATGCAACTCCAGCTGTTGTCAGAAATTAAAAGTGAGAAGATGAACATATGTTAACTGTAAACAGTCGATAAGTTTGCTAATTTAACAGTTTTAGAGCGGAGGCTGGCGTTTACCCCCCCTCCCCTCCCGGTGGGAATTTTCGACATATACATTTTTTGGTTTGTATTGATATGTACTTTAAGGTTTTAGGTGTTTGCCACTTGTGAATTACAGCAAGTTCTGGAAAACACGAAAATATCATGAATATATATATTTAAAAAAATGGGTTTTCTTTAGCGAGTTCGTTTGGCTCTACAACCCGACCGATTTTCATGATTGAGGTCTCAAATTGAAGGTATTAACGCACAGATTTCACATCAAGCATCGGCATATAGTTGCCTACAGTCCCACTCGGCTTATACGTAAACAACATTTTTTCCCATGTATTTCTTATGGGAGTTAAATTTGGTTTTTTTCCGAGTTCGTTTGGCGCTTCTACCCACCCGATTTTCATTATTGAGATTCTCAAATTGAAGGTATGCACGCACAGATTTCACATCAAGCATCAGTATATATTTATCGACAGTCCCACTCGGCTTATACGTAAATTAAATTTACCCCCCATGTATTTCTAAAGGGAGTTAAATTAGTTTTTTTTCTTTTCCGAGTTTCTTTGGCTCTTCTACACGTCCGATCTTCATGATTGAGGTCTTAAATTGGTAGTATGCACACATATATTTCACATCAAGCATCATCGTATATTTATCTACTTTATTACTCGACCAAAAAACATAGGTTTGATATATTTTTTAATTCGTATTTCAATTTAAATTGTACAGTATTTTACCATTTGTAATTATATAACAGTATATATTTTGGTCTAAGAACCTTCAGTGAAATACCGGCTTGCATTTAAGATATTAGTTATTCAAATCGGACGGTTTTCAAGCAAACGCAAGGTGAACATCCAACATAAAAAAAATTATAAGGGTTTTCTATGATTGAATATCAATAGCTCCAGTATTGTTTACGTTTTTTTATATATTTTAGACTCAAAATAATCAGTCAATTATAGGCTTTAATTTGAGCTATTGATCGTTTGAATCAGTTAAGTTTAAGATACTGTATTACACAATCAAAAATAATAAATTTGATTATTTCTCGGATATGATTTTATTTATTTTAACGCCGCAGAACAGCATGGGTCCTTTAGTATAGATTTTTTAGTTTGATTTGATTTGATTAGTTGATTCCTGTGCGTAGGACGGGCCCACAGCAAGTTAGAATTTTAAAATGCAAGTATGGTGAAGTCATCAGATTGTTCTCAGTGACATGCAAGCAAATGAAATGAAACGAAGTGAGCAAAGTATTTTGCAAGTACTGTACTTGATGCTTTTTAACAAATGCATTATTCTGCTTGAAGTTGAAAACCGTGATCAGAATTCCTAGATGGTCTGTTTATCAGCTGGAAGACCTGTACCCGAATCGGTGGAAGACAATTTACTCAATGTAGATAATCTAGAGAAAGCTGCATGTAAACAGATTAGTTGAGATAAGAGCAATAAGAAATATTTTTATGGAGTTTTACTGCTGTCCCAGGAACGTGATATTAATCTTGAGAAGCTGATGACATACCCATTAGATCCAGTACCATGGGCGTCAGCCACTGTCGATGGATGCCCAACCAAAACAGAAAAGGCCAAACTGCTCCATACTTTGGAGAACAAGGGTATAGACGAACCTCTCAAGATTGAAGAATGTATGTATGTAATTGACGGTATGGCTTACTTTTAGGTTTTTACTAGTATTCCAGAAACCTCTGGTGAACTAGCACAGATTGCCTTCAGCCGTTTTCCGAAATTCAGCAGGATATACTTTATTACAAATACCAATTTAGATGTATCTATTAAAAACATTGAAAGAGAGAAGGGGATTTGGAGAAATGTTTTTAATGAGAGGTCCAAAATCAAGATCCCACGGGATTGGAAAAAAATCCTAGCTAATGGTAAAAATAAGGAACAACGGGTTAACCTGCTAAATAATGAATGGTCTCAGCACAAATATGCATAAATTCAAACAAGCTTCAATACACGTTTCTAGGGTAATGTAAGGTTCTTTTTGGTGATATTTTGAAATTCACCCCCCACCCACAAACAGGGTTGCTAAGAGTAACTTAAATTTTTTTAAAGGCAACCCATATCAATCAGCACAATATTTTAAAGAGATTTAAACAAGAAAATTACTGTCGCAAATCCGATTTTGATATGAGGAAAACGAAGTTTTATACGTTAATTTTACTGGAACCTTACAATCCAGTAAAATTTACGTCTAAAATTTCTCAATAAAATTTATTTAATTTAAATAGAATCTCTTAAAATCTCTTTCCTAGAGGTACTCGTTAAATCTAATGTTATTTAAATAGATTTAATTGAAATTCAATTCAGGCCAGTTTGAAATCCGCATTGCCTGCAGGTTTGCTGCAGCGGGGGTATTTTATTAACTTTTTTTATTTTCATTTAAAGCCTTTGAATACATACTAAAGAAGTCCATAAAAAATATTGCACCAGTAATTAACGCAGGCTACCCTTTTGTAATTTAAATAAAACAGTTTTTAAATTTAACAGTTTTTCTTTATTTTCCGGAATACGCTGTAATTTAAAAGAGGCAAACAACTGAATTCTTAATCTGGTAGGTAATACCAACAAAAAAAAGTATAAGTCATAAATTCCCACGGGGGGGGAGGGTTTCATATTGGTGGCTCATGGTCTATTTGCTACAAGTTTACTGACTTGGTTTAAATGAAATATTTCCTATTTGAACTTGGGTTGGCGTAAATATGACAATAGAAAAAGCAAGAGAGTCTGGATAAATTGATATATTCTGTTATGTACATCTTGAATATTTCCATAATCTTTGGGTAGAATCTTTTAAAGTCATCAGAAATTATGAGTGTTATTCCTTTTAAAATGACGCCTCTAATACTTAGAAATTGCTCGAATTCGAGCAACAGGAACACTAGTATTAATTAATAGCCTATTAACTAGTGTATTAATCACTTATAACATTTAACAGTTTTAACGTATGTGTAACATAGTAAACGCAGTCAATTGTTTAATAGCTCACCAAAGCTGGAGAAAATAGAAAGAGCAACGGCCTCTATGTGGGGGAGGGATTTTACAGCCTTGTAAAATAAAACTCTCCCTCTTTTCCTACTTACAGCTGTTGATAAAACGAATAATATTTTAAGTATGGTAATCCTGAGTGAAAATAAAAATCCCTGCCATCAATGTTGATACACTACTACAGACGTAAGATTTAGATCGTAATGTAATATAAATTGGAATACAATTAGAATAATTTTGCAACTGAAATAATCACGAAATATATAAAACCTATACATTTAATTCCGTAAGGTTATAATCGGTCCCCACGAAATATCTCGAGCCAGGTAAAATGTTGCATGGCGGTTAAGGATTTATTTTAAAGCTTTAAGTCCAAGGACGGTGGGAAAAATATCATAAGTGTCAAAAATTACTCTTGCTCTGCCCTACAGGCCGTCAAAGATCCAATAATTTGATAATGAATGTGTTTCTATACGCTGTTTTAAAAATTTTAGCTAATGTAAAAATTGAATTTTAGTGATCAGTTATAGTTTTCGGTTAGAATGGTAATACAGTGTTGAAATGTATTGTGAGGGGGTGGCCACAACTACGAAGGAGAGTAAGGAATGGTGCATATCATAGGGAATTGCAAAATTACAACGGAGGTGAAGGCTGGCAATTGCTGCTATGGACCCCTAGTATAATTTAAAATTCAAACAATGTTGGTAATATTCGGACGTGTATTTTAGGACAAAAATGAGACAATACCTGACATCAAAACACTGAATCACGGAGTAGTTTGTGTCTAACTTGTTCTTCCAAGAGTTACGTGACTAGGTTCTTGAATACTACTTACATCGAGCTTTTATAATATTTTGTAAGAATGTTTGAGAGGTCAATGAATCCAAAGACAGAAAATACTTAATTTACAATCAAAGCACACTGTGCTATTGAAAGTAAGTGAATTTACAGTATTCGTTTATAAACTTGCATTAAATTGACTAAAAACTTCGTAATGGAAGTTTACTAGGTCTGGTTCTCAATATTTACCAGCATTATTTTTAATGTCCAATTCTTACCGTTCATTATTATGTTTTCTTAGTTACATAAAATCTTAAGATATTCAAGTTTCAAATATTTCACAAAAATAATGTAGTGAATAACTAGTTCCGAGCGTAAAAGCCCATTTTCAAATCATTTTCTCATCAATTGTCAAACATTATTTTCTTGCACTTGCCGTTTTCAAAATTACTTCACACATAAACACACAAAGAAATATTTAGATTTATAAACATATACAGAAGTGCGAGGTCGGCCAACAATATGCTATTTTCGAAAAATTGTTACAATTGTTGTGTATATACCGGGTGTTATATATGCTGTGTTGGTTTAACCCATAGTCAATGGTTGAACTTACTGGTAATTGCCAGCTGTTGTCAATGTTAATATTGTATGCTTCATAATAATTAAAACACATGTTATTAATTTAAAGGAGAGAATGTAAACAAAAAGAGTTGAGTTTTATGTTGGCTTATAAAGAAGATGTTAGTCAAAATGGTTCAAATAAATTATTGTCACTACTTTCACTGAGTACTCATTGTTTTTTGTCAGTTCTATTCGTAACATTGTGGCGTCCAACGTGTTGGCATTGGTGGAAGTAAGTTATTTGTTGGAAAAGTATAGATTTTATTTGAACCATGGAAGCCTTGTTAAAAAGAAGGAAGGCAATTAGAACAACATTTAGTAGATCAGTATCAAAGTTCAATGAAGTTTGTCAAGAAGAATTAGATGAAGCTAATGCTCTTTATGACGTATTAGAACAAAGATACGATGATTTGGAAGAAATAGATAAAGAAGTATTGAATCTAATGCTTGTAGAACGACCTGATGAAGAAATTGAAGCTGAACTAGCAAAACAGGATGAATACAAGAAGGCTTTTGGATTAATTAAATACAAGTTGCGAGTAAGTAACAGACTAGAGGATGAGGCTCGTTCTCTCAGCAATTCTGTAAGTAACAACAGTATTTTAGTACCTAAGCAGAACACAGTAAGACTTCCAAAAGTTGAATTGATCAAATTTGGTGGAGATCCGAAGGACTGGCTACATTTCTGGAGTCTTTTTCAAACAATAGATAGGGAACCGACCCTAAATGCTGCAGAAAAGTTCCAATACTTGTTACAAAGTATGATTCCTAGGTCTAGAGCATATGAAGTACTAAAGAGTTTTCCACCAACAGCAGATAATTATCCTAAGGCTCTAGAGGACCTTAAAGGTAGATTTGGGCGGGACGGACTTCTAGTACAAGTATATGTTAGGGAGCTGCTAGCTTTGGTACTGAAAAACACAGAACATAGTTTGTCTCTGATGCAGTTTTACGACAAATTAGAATGTCAACTACAAACCTTGGAAAGCTTAGAGGTAACAACAGATAAATGTGCTTGTGTTTTGTTGCCTTTAGTAGAGTCCTGCTTACCAGATGATCTTCTTAGAGCTTGGCAGAGATGCAGTTTGTCTTCAGATGGAGAAAATAAAGAATCATCAGAAACAGAAGAGCAGACATTGCGGCAGTTCATCAAATCAGAAGTTGAAGGTGAAGAAAGAATTGTTTTGGCTAAGACTGGTTACGGTACGAGTAAGAGGGTAAGCCCTAGAAGTAATATTGATAAAACATCAAACAATATGCCTTCAGCATCTTGCTTGACTAACAAGTCAAAAGAGTTAAATTGTATATTCTGTTCAGAAGCTCACAAAAGTGCAGATTGCCTGCAGGCCAAGAAAATGGATTTTAGTAAAAAGAGACAAATTGTTTTGGATAAAAAAGCTTGTTTTACATGTCTATTTCAGGGACATACATCTAAATTCTGTAGAAGGCCTTTAAAATGTAGTATTTGTTACCGCAAACACCCTACTTTGATGTGCAATAAGGATCAAGGATTGCAAGAGCAATCAAAAAAGTGCACCGGTAATGAGGTCAAAGATCTATCTAACTTAGGACAACAAACAAAATCACAGATTTATCTACAGACATTGAGGGTCAATCTGATCCATGAAGGTTTGATTCGTCCTGTTAGAGCCTTAATTGATACAGGTTCGATGAGATCTTATATTCTTGAGTCCACAGCATCCGAAATTGGTATGTATCCCGAGGGACAAGAGAGTTTAACCCATTCACTTTTTGGAGGTGTTAAGACGGATGTTGTTTCACATAACACGTTTAAAATCATTCTTGCCAATAGGAATAATGACTATAAGTGTAGGTTCAAGGTTTTGGATCAACCTCTTATAAGTGAAAACATCCCTAGTATTAGGAGAGGTCCAGAACTTAAGGAAATAGAAGCTGCTAACATTGTTCTTTCGGATGTAGCTGAATCAGATGCAAAAATTGAAGTATTAATTGGTGCAGATGTTGCTGGTAAGTTGTTCACAGGTAACAAAGTTCAGCTGAATAGTGGACTTGTAGCAATGGAAACCTTTCTAGGCTGGACATTAATGGGTCGCTTATCTAGTGTTGTGGAAACTGATAACAGTAAGACAGAATGCAATACATCATGTGTTAGTATGTTTTCTTTTAGTGATCCTTCTGAGGATATTTCGATGTTCAGGAAATTAGAGACCCTTGGTATTACTGATCCCGTTGAACAAGAGTCAAAAGAAGAGCTGCACGAGATGACACCAGAACATTTTAAGAATACGGTGAAGAGTGATAACAAAGAAGTTCGTCATGAAGTGTGTTTGGTTGAGGATTGTAACATACATCCTAATAACTTGGAACTTTCAAAGAAACGGCTTCAATCAACGATTGACAAAACTAAAAATGGTGGTTACTTCAGTAAGTATCAACAAGTGTTTAGAAGTTGGCAGACTGAAGGAATCATTGAATCAGTTCCCAGTGACGAGGTAGATCACATCAAGCACTTCATACCACATAGAGCAGTTATCGAGGACAGTGCGACTTCACCAGTGAGACCCGTATTTGGTGCTTCAGCACCTGTTAAAGGGTGGGAGTCCAACAATCAACATGCTCCGAAGAGAGTTTTGAAGAAAACTAGTTTGAACAGCGAAGAAATGTCAACTACATTATGCGAATGTGAAAGTGTTATCAATGCCCGACCGCTCACTTACATGTCAGATGATCTGAATGAATTGAGTCTCATTACTCCATCAATTTTTTTGAAAGATATAAGCGATGTGAGACAACCCGACTTAGACGCTATTGAGGAGATCAATTTACCGAAGAAAGCTGTATACAGAAAGAAAATAAGAGAAGGACTGAAGTCAAGATTCAGAATCGAGTATCTTGGTCAATTATCACACCATAATAATGTCAAAAGTTACCGAGAACCTGAAGTGGGGGAAATAGTACTCATAGGTAATGACTTTGACAAGCGGATAAACTGGGTGATTGCCAGAATCATAGAAGTAATGAAAGGAAGAGATGGAATTGTGCGCACAGTAAGATTGAAGACACCAACCAATGAATTGATTCACCCAGTACAACGTTTATACCCATTGGAAATAAACTCTAACGAAGAGAGAAAAGTAGTTACAAGAAGAAGTACACGATCCAAAGTACAAGTTAATCAACCATAAGTTAATTAACTTGGGTGGGAGGATGTTATATATGCTGTGTTGGTTTAACCCATAGTCAATGGTTGAACTTACTGGTAATTGCCAGCTGTTGTCAATGTTAATATTGTATGCTTCATAATAATTAAAACACATGTTATTAATTTAAAGGAGAGAATGTAAACAAAAAGAGTTGAGTTTTATGTTGGCTTATAAAGAAGATGTTAGTCAAAATGGTTCAAATAAATTATTGTCACTACTTTCACTGAGTACTCTTGTTTTTGTCAGTCTATTCGTAACACCGGGCTTTAAGTCTGGTAGAAAACGATTCCAGGGCAGTAATTTATTTGAACACATTTAATTTTGTTATACCTTAACAAGTTTTGTAAATAATAGTTACACAGTGGGTGTACCAGTTACATTTTCAGAATATTGTTGTTTGGAGAAAGATTTCGTTGATTTGATAAGCTACAAACACTAGAAATGTATTATAATAAATTATCGAAAACGATAAATTTAACATTCTTCATATACATTAATCAGGTATTTCATCCCCCGCACTAGTAAGGGGTGGATTTACAACCTATTCAACGCCTTGCTATTGAAGAAACAAAGCTTAACGCGTAGGAGGCTTTGAAAACACAATGTTCTGATCCTCTTTCGAACATATGATCGAACATTCCTAACATAGATTTGCATTTACGTTGTATGTATTGTAAACATAACTCATCCTATAATGATTACATGATTTGTTTTTAATCCGTGAATTCTTTACAAAATGTATTTTATGAAGAGGATTATTTTATCGTATGATGCTCTTTTGTACATGATACTGAATTTTCCTGTTTCCTCATATTGGGCTTACATTTAAATTATTCAAAAGCAATTACAATTTATTTTTTATCCTTATACTATTTGTAAAAGCGTCGAAAACATTTAACATTGATTATTTTGCATTACAATAGAATGAATGAATCATAAAAAAATCCACTTATGATGACTAATATTTCAACAATTACTGAACTTATATGTTATAGAAAGTAAAACAGTTAGATAAACTTTTCTAAAAAAATAAACCAGTTTATGTGAACAACAGAATAAAAAAAGTATCTAGAAAAAGTATCTAGCCTGTTAATTCTAACAAGTAGTCTGTTATGATCAAAAAGATAAACAGTGATACATAAACGTTAGAAGGCTTAAGTTGAATTAATTAATTAAGTAATTTAAGTAAATCAAATGAATTAAGCTAGTTAATTATTAATTAAGTTAAATTAATACACAGATCAAATTAATATCGCCACAATTAATAAAAATCATTTAATTCTTATAATTGTTACAATATGTTTCAAACTTTTCAAGATTTTTAAGTTTTAAGTTAAGTTTTAAGTTTTTTAAGTTTAAGATTTTTAAGTGATTTTTAAGTTTTTATTAATTATACTAGATTTCAATATTGTTGTAGTATTAAAAAACGTGAATTATGGAATTTATAAATTTAGCAATAAACTATTTTAAGAGAATTTAAACTATTTTATCAAATAATTATTTTAATGTCATAAAACAACCATGCTGACTAAGTTAAATTTAATCTGACGATCCGTCGAACGAAGAGTGACTCAATATCAACTCTAATGTACAACTAGTTGTATTACAAGGTTTGAAGGCAAGACTCTTTGTTAACGAAACAAAAGAGGTAATCTAATACTGGATCAATTAACCATGGTATATACAAAATCTACGTTGCGTAAGAAAACCACAGTTTGGTAAGTTCAAACACATTAACAAATTATAATGTGGTATATGAACAAACATAATGAAAAGATTAAAATTAAAATATTCGCTTAATGCATCACTTCTAACGCATAAACAACTTCAATTTGAGTATTCAATACTTTGTGGTAGTTAAAATGAACATAACAAAAATTATCGTGTAAGGATTGGAATTAGGTTTTAGTTTGAAAACTGATACACAAGTGAACAGTTAAAACCATAATATGTGCAATTACCACAGTTTTAGCCGTGGTTTATTTATTACACTGTAATATCTTGCTGGTAATTGTATTCTAGTGGTTTACACGACTAGAGTTCACGAACTGTAATGTCGATTGAGGTTAATGTTGGATATTTATGATTATTGTTCCAGCTCTAAATTTTATAGCCTGATTAACACCGATCCGTTTATTGGTTACATGGCTTGGAGTAAAATCGAATTTCAAATATTAGTCATAACTGACACTGTTATAAGTAGTGAAAATTATGTTTTATGAGGCATTTGGATGCTTAACTTTTGCCTGAATTAAAATCGTATAGCCCCGTGAAAAACTTTGACTGCAGTGTGTTTTCTCAGGATGAAATGTTTCATTATTTACAAATTATAAAACCCCTGTTTTTGGGATAGGTTAGGTTATTACTGAGACAATCGTCAACTTATTTTTTTCGTTACATACAAGTTATCGCATGTAGAACAGAAAAGGTATAATGTGATGTTACTGGTCAAAACTAAACATGTTTGTAATATTATTGTAATGGAACGGTCAAAAACGACAAATTCAACTACTAAGGTTATAAGTATACAGTATTCGTTCCAGTGACGTCATTTGTTTATGTTTATTGTCCGTGCATATACTGTTTTAATATAGTGGTTGTATTTTTTAACGTAAAATGTTCCTAGTTGGTCATTATGAATTTGTTTGGACCTAATTTTATCGTTGACTTCGCCCTTTACAAGTTGTGGTTCTAAAACAGGTTCTCGGTGGGTACATACAGTTACGGTGGATAAAAAGTAACCAAAAACCTGATTTGAGGTGTAATTCAACAAAATATCAACATATCTGATAAACTTCCTCCCGAGCTGGCCACTGTTTTAGGTGGGTCTTTGTCAATGAGTTCTGCCACTGTCACATACATTGTTGACAGCTCATGAGTCGTACATTAGGCCTTCCTAAATATGTTAGTCACGAGAAATACGGAATCTGGGCAAAAACCGTCCTACGTTAATTTCATAGCTATTTTAAACATATTTTCTTTTTAATAACATCTACTAAAATATATTTATAAGAATGTCAAATATGGAATAAAATCAAAATTTATTTAACAATAGAAATTTGTACTGTAAAATAATTTTTGAGTAGATTTTCGTAAACACAAATATTGGGATTTTTAGTCCTTATAATAATTAATACTTTCATTTGTTCATGGAACATACCGCCAGGGTACGGACTCAGCTGAGGTAGTAAGGTATCATCACCACAATGGCGTAAGGAAATCTAAAACCTGGGTTTAATTTTATTGCCTGTTTGAGGGAATAGAAATGGAATAAAGCGTTATTGTTTCTTTATTTGTTAAACGATAGCTCCTGAACAATAAAATAGGGATTAATGATCCGAAAACAATAACACTTAAAAAACACACTTATAATACACGTATAAAATGATTCCAAAATGTATTTTGAATAACTTCATTTTTTGTATCTTGTTATTATATTTTGTTATTGTATTGAGTTGTGTGAATTTTATGTTGCATTTTATACAAAATTTTCCTACCGGGTCTGACTCCTGAATTTATACCATTATCTATTACAACACTACGGTTGAATTCATTTACTCGTTTTATCACTCAGACAGGCAACTCCCAAAACCACAACTAACAAACCAAACGAAACTTTTTACCTTTAATTTTAGAAAAAGGTATTTTTAGAAGAAACCTTTTATCGGATAAGGTTGAGTGGACTTTGTAAACAATAAAACAATCTTAATTTGGCAACTCGATACCAATGTCGTTGCTAGAGTTCAAACGTCTGGAAATTCTGTCCAAACATGTTACTTTCAAATTATTAACCCTTCAGTTGATTAAAAATTGTTCTGAGCCTAGAAACCATGGGACAAACATTTAATTTGTTAGAAATTTGTTTAATAATGTATATTCAAGTATTTATGATATAGTTGTTTAGTTTAGTTTAGGCTCTATACCCTGATCACGTCATAATTGCTAACTTGGTGTTTAGCGGGGTTCGAACGTGGACCCCTAAGACCTAGATTCCGCATTTCAACTACCAGACCATTAGTGTACTGTCCTTTTAACTACATTACTTCTATCAAAATAAGAATGCGTTAAATCTTTCTAAAACATTAGACAATTTTACTGGAAACATTTCAAATGCAAAATATACTTCTTAATTATCGATTGTTAACAACAAATTTAAATGTCACTCCTCTTTTTTTTAAGACACCTGTTCTATCATACGTTTTTAGTTATTCTCGATATTGTACTTAAGTCATTGTTCTCTACGGCCCTCATGTAATTGTCACGATTGTACTGTTTTATTACCCATCTTGATTCGAACTTTATTGTATCCATTTTGTAAAAAGTATACAGTTAGGAAACAAATAAATACGTCAAATAGTAATTTCATGATGCTCTTCTGTATTATTATGTCTTACAGTTTTGATTGGATCCAAAATGTTTACTATAACCTCTGATAATTCGTACACACTAGTTGTAACCGGTAGCAGGCCAGAACTACGACGGTCCTACATGTCTTCCTGGGTGCTAACGCTAACAGCAATCATCCAATCTTGGCTCTATTTATAGCGTAGGCCTCGACTGGACTAACAAGGCACGAATAGCGCCAAACTAAACGGCTTGTCGGTAATTTTAGCATGTGTTACGACGAACATTGCATCAATCATATGTACATGGATAGTATTATAAAAAAGTAGATAGACAACAGTCTGGTAGTAACCTTCTATTTGGTGTACTTTCAAACTTTACCCATTCCACGAAATACCTATTTGTGTTAAGATCGGCAATAACTGGTTGTGCTCGGAACTTGGTGTGCTCAAAATAATTATAAATCGCATAAATCTAAATTGAACACAACTTAATTTCGTCTCAATTGAAATTGGCCTCATGTATCATTAAGGGCGGGAGGGAGTAGAAATCACTTACACCCTCTTCCCTTACCACAGCTGTAACTCTAACAACATAACAACGATTAGCAAGCGTAAGCTGAGAAATTAACCACAGGGATGATTGCTTACTTGGGGTGTGTATAGTATATTTCGTACCTAGGGCCGAAAATGAGGTTTTGCCGGCTCGAGATAGTTTTTAAGTTCGAGACGAAGTCGAGAACTTAAATCGATCGAGAGCCGCAAAACCATTTCGGTCCGTGGTACGAACGCTATTTTTCACCACACTATACCCTATTACCACTATTCACCACAATAATAATGCACACTGATAGTCAACACAACTACAACTTTAAGGTTATGTGAAGAAATAATTTGAGGAATCAGCAAAAATAAAAATATATAGTTGCTAGGCAACGGTGACAATAACACAATTCTATTGAAATGCTATGGATTTTGATTATGTATTTAAAATGCATTCATGTTTTAAGTAAGTAAACGGACAGCTGATTTTGCGGCCCCGGCCTGTAAAAACCTGCTCGGTCCCCAAATTATGGACAGCTGGCATCGCCAGCAAAACGTAACTTTCGGCCACCAATTAACGTATGTAATACAGCCAAAAACATGATAGTGTGGTGAAAATATATTTTCGCCACACTACATTATTTTGACGAACTTCCCACGCAAGGATCTGGTCTAGAAAACAGCTGTTTGCCGCTAGCTTATTCAAATGGGGTTTCATTGCGTACTACTGTACTGTAATGAGTTTTACCGGACACCAATCAGCTGATTATACTGAAATTTGGGTGGCAATGGGTGGTTATAAACAAAAACATAACCGAGAGGTTATGACTAGTGATTTTTAGTCCTTTAGTTAGTGGAAATATATAAGGATTTGTACAGATTTAGTAGTATGGTGTAAACTATCGTACGTAACTCGTCCAAAATGTGTGTACCGGACTCGTATGGTTATCCCGTACTCGGCTTAGTCTCGCAAACATAACCCAAAAGTTAATTCGTGGGGTATGATAAGGTTATTATGGTGGTAGGAAAAATCTTAATTTTTTATGAATAGAGCACTAAACAAGATTACACTATTTTTCTTCTATTCACCATGTTTTTGGAAAGTATTTACCTAGATTTATTTTCATTTTTGTTAATGATTTATCCTCTGGTAATTATAGTAGGCCTAATCACATTATATATTCAATCGTGGCATAAAATCTACCAATCTACCAAGTTGAGGTGCAGATAAAGCTAATATTTATCAAACGTGTTTGAGCTATTAGGATCCGATCATCTGTTTAACATCTGACAATACATAAATAAATAGTTATTTTTAGGCTATGTTATTGATGATTCCAACACCGCCTGAATGCAAGTAAAGGGGACTACAACTTTATCTTCAAAAAAGTTAAAGCATTTAAGTAAAATTTGAGTTCATGTTGCTGAATTACACTCTTGGTATCGTTGGGTAAATTAAGGTATCGTTTCTTATATGCTGTTTATTTTTATGGGTTTTTCATGATTGTTATAATAGATTGTTTTTATAGTTTTTACCTTGTTTAGAAACATTATTTTAATAGATTGGCATATAGATTTTTATATAGTTTAAGAAAATAATTACATTAAATTAAATAAAAAATCTCTTTATTAAAGAGGCGAAGTTAGGACTTGCAAGACATCTCTACCACTTAACCTCTAAAACATAAATAAAACGAAATAATCTAAGAACAGTATTATATAGGTAAACGTGATGGAATTGAATTTGCTGAGTTGTTTTGAAAAGCAGAATTGCATATGAAAAACTCTTGCTGAATACTCTTTTATTTATTATTTAATACTTCCCACGATGCATCATTGATTTTTATTGTTTACTCATGTTAGTGTGAACAGCTGTTCCCGCACCAGCTGGGAAGTGTGACGTATGTCGTGGGTTGAGAGATGTAGGAGCCGTAGGGAAGGTTGTGGAAAGTGAAATGACTCAATACCAAACCCAGGCAGACGGCTAGGAATGCTGGGCCTCAGGTCGTTAGTAACCCGCTAATCCGTCATTCAATAATCCGCCATAGCTCTGGGCACTAAATAAGCCTACCAGAAAATTTCTGGTCCGAGCCTGTTCGGCAGAGTTTTTGGTGTGTGTTATGTTATATTGTTTTTTTTTTTTTACGCAGTAGGTAAGTATTTTTTACGTTTACTGTAAAGGGCGGTGCAAAACTTGGTTCTACTATACGTACGATATAAGTGGGGGTGAGTTGGTCTAGTAGTATAGCGCGGGACTCCAGTCCCAGGGGTACCGGGTTCAAATCCTCCAAATCACCAATGGTTTTTATCTAATGATAATGCCGCAACCACTAGGTCTAGTCTGAAGTAATGTGAAAAACAATCCTGGGCTTGTGCCTGGCGTCCTTAGTTTTTAAAGCATTGTTTTCTCAAGACCAAGTCCAAGTCCAAGTCTTGTTGACTGTGGCGACTTGCGCCACTTTTAACTCGAGCCCATGAAAATCCGCCAAAGACCGTGTGTTCATATCGACGATGCCAGCGCCCCAGCGCCCAGTGGCTACAGTGAGTACTAAAACAATCAGCTGTGGTTGCCGCCAGTTTGTATATGATACCCGCCAAAGTGAACGTGTAACCTCAAGTGTCACTGGTTATCCATGAAGGCAATATAAGGTGAGTGAAGTTTGTAGCTTTTGTTTCGTCATAGAATCTAAAAAAAACCCGTTCGTGCCATTTCTATTTTTAAGAAATTACATTATTTTTCTAGCAGTAATCATTGTTAGTCAAACAATATTTTAATTGTACGAAGTATACACCTATTAATGCATATGTATACTGTAATTAGTTTACCAGTAAAAACGTCTCAAAATGTTTGTAAAACTGAAACGTGAGTTGAAACTACTTAAATTTTATATTTGGTACCTTAAAACAAATTCATTTGCTAACCAACATAAAATATCGTAATTTAGTGACTAATTGTGGTAGGTATGTACAATTACTTAAGGGTTTTCTTATATTTTAAACTTATTTTGAAACCCAACTATCAAATAATGGAATGAAAATGTGGATTAATAGTTCAAACACACTAGTAATGTAGAAATAACATACTGAGAAAAATACCTTAGTAAAAGAAAACTTAATACGTAACTTAATGTTAACACTAAATAACAAGATTGTACACATTAAACGACAAAAAAAGTCATTAACACTGGTTTTGTTTAAATTATATGCTACTGTACGTGGCTATTTAGTACAATACAATTCCCTAAGATTTATTTTACTATTTCAACCAATTAGTACCGCCAAAAGTTACACAAATGTTTTAAACAGCAAAATTATAACGTTAAATGTTAAATGTAACACCTGTTTTAGCTGTGATTTTCTTTCACCTACATTAGTTTATACTTTCTCCACGAGGTAGGTGTGCGATATGCTAACTCACCTCCCCGGGTATTTAATCTTTGTGACATATGGGGATAGGACACGCACCATAATATACTCAGAAAACAGTTCTTGCGCTCTCGGATCTTAGTTAAAGTAATACAGATGTTGTTTGTAAAATATTCATTGCATTTACGAACATGAAGTAAAGAAGGAACTATGATAACTTGTATGTGAAGTTTTATATAAAGTCACAAATTTACTTTTGCTTGGACTAATAAAGACAATATTTTACTGACAAACTATCCAAAGAGCTTAAGGAAAATGTCATTTATAAGTGTTGTGTCGTAGTGACACATATCGTTTAGATTAAACATTAGTCTATTTGTCAAATTATATTGAATGAATGACTTTCCTTTGTCACAAAGTTCCTTGTTATTCATAAGTGTGTTGTGTCGTAGTGACACATATCGGTTATATTAAACATTAGTCTATTTGTCAAATCAAATTGAATGAATGACTTTCCTTCGACACTAAGTCCGTGACGCTATAGACTGAGTCACCGACTCACAACAAAGGATAATTTTATGAAGAGCGGAATTCATTTACACATTGTATCATAAATACACAAAGAAATACGTCATCGTTCCGTGAAACTCACGTAGACACAATAGAGCAAATAAGATACTAACATGCTAAGTAAGATAAGCAATCTTATTGTAGTGAGAGTGCAAATAACGAGAGCGTTTGGTACTTCAGTCTAGAAGGTTTAAAGTGAGATAAGTTTCAATTTACATAACTACTGTACCGCTGTAATTGTGTAAATTATCAATACAGTACTGGATTTCTTCCGTGGTTTCCTCGTGTATATATCTTTAAATTACGGTCAAAGATCATCAAACAATAATAGAATTAGTCGATAATCGTTTTATTTGTTGTCCAATTAGAACTAACATAATTTTGAAACATAATGGTATGTTTTACTAGCAAATAAATACACATTTGTTTAAAAATTCCCAATGAAAATGTTATGATTAAATTAGTTCAGGAAAACACAGCAAATTCGCCAGATAATTTATTTTCCGCTTGATAAACCTCAAATAAAATTGCAATAGGACCTCCGAAATGCTTTGTTATAGTTGAAGCTCACTAGAACAGTTATTACCTATTCGGATATTGAAATGCAATTGGATGGTGTGAACTGTTTGAAGTGGTTTCAAACACGAGTCTGTCGACAAATATTATTGGAATGTAGAACATAACTGTATCCACTCGTAGTACCCATCTGTAGTTCCACAACCATAGAGGGGATTAATATTGGTAATATTCGAACAATAATATTTATTAGAAATTATATTTCGGTGGAAGAAAGTGTATCGTATATGCCCACTTATTATAATCCGTTTTAACATAATCGTATCAGTTGTGTATGTTTACGATTATAATTCAAAATCGATGAATAATGGACAAATTGTTAGTTTTAGACTGTTTCAAATAAATGTATAATTTATTACCCATTTTTATTGGAACTGTATTGTTTTTTATTTCAATTATTCTTCAGATCGTGTGTTTCGAAAAAATATTTCAATCTGTAGTCAGGCTAATAGTGACAAATTATCTGTTTAAAGAACTTTGTTTATACAATTAAAAATTTGGATTTTACACTTATTATCTAATTTTGGTCTACATCTTCTAGCCTTTTATCTATCGACCGATTTGTGTGCTCGTCTAGTAATAACCAGTCACAGGTTCGATCCTGAGAAAGTAAGTAGATTTTTGACAATTCGAAAATGGACCCAGCTGTCTTTGACTATTGGGTTTTGATAAATGGTCCTTTCGTATTATACGGAGGCCACCCTTATACAACACGCTGCGGCGGTTAGGTTAGGTTGGGTTAACATACATTTGGTATGACTCATCTGGTATCGTTTGACTTATAACGAAACGAGGAAAGTCCTACAAACATATGATGCCTAACCTAACCTAACCGCAGCACGATATAAAGTAAGTCTCCTCTGTATAATACGAACGTACCAATAATAATTTCAAATCACAGCAAAGCATGGTTGGCGCGCAATATAAACCTGTAAGACTAACTATTACAATATTATTTGCATGATTACATAAACGTCTTTGTATAGTGATACGCCAGATGTCACGTGGTATCAGGTAATGTTGCAACTGCTTGAGTTACCGCTAGAAGCAAACTTGATATAACTATATCAATTGTATTATAAGACGCACTAGTGTAGTTCTCATTAGCTAAACAGCTGTTCCAATTACATGACTAATTATTGATGTATATTATTTCTTAGCGCAACAATTAATGTTTGCTAAATATATTCTGTATGAAACGTACAATATTTTTTTCCTGCATTACTAGCATATTGTTTTTTGATGATTTTAGGAATTGTAAGTAGTTTAAATTTAAAGGAGTAAAAGTTAAAAATATCAATTTTCAGCTGGGATGTATTGAAATGTAAAAAATAGACACAAGGAAAAAATCATTATTTCATAAATTCATATAATCTGGGTTTAGGTTGGATATTTTTTTCGGACAGCGAAAAAGTTATAATTTAATTTGGAAGCCAAGCAAATTTAATTAAGTGCGACATAAGCAAAATTGGATTATTTATTTAAACAAATGCAATTTCTTTAAAGTGTTATGTTGCCTAGATAAATTTGACGATTTAATTTACTCGCTCTTTTAAATCAAACAAACATTTTGTAGTTGCGGTTTTCTAGATTGTTTCGTTATATTTCTAAAAAACCAAAAATTACAAATATATATATACACTAGCTGTACCCGCGGGCTTTGCCCCATTTAACTTCATAGGTGAGCTCGTTCGCATGGCTCAATCACGTCCTGGTTGAAGTTCGTTCGCTACGCTCACTCACTTTTAGGTTGGAGCTCGTTCGCTGCGCTCACTTGCCTTCAGGTTAGCTCGTTCGCTACGCTAACTCGTTTCCAGGTTGAAGTTCGTTCGCTACGCTCACTCACCTTTTGGTTGCAAATTAGCTGTTGTCATAAATGTAAAAGAAATAATAGTGCTGCACCCAGTTGGTAAACCTTGTAACTTTAATGCTATTGAACATCATAGAACAGAACCAACTTGTTTAATTGAAACAGCTGTTAAGACTCATTAATTCCATTTAAATATGAGTACTCATAAGGTTAACATGGGAAACTCCAGAGCCACTGGGGCGGAGCCCGAGAGTCCGATCAGAATAAAAACAGCTTAGTTTTCCTATTTCATGCCTAAAGAATCAGTGTACCAAATTTCAGCCTCCTAGGTAAATAGGAAGTAAGATAATTAGTGATGAGTGAGTGAGTGAGTGAGTCAGTCAGTCAGTCAGTCAGTGAGTCAGTGAGGGCTTTGCCTTTTATAGATGACAACTTATGTATTTGAAATAAGTGATTAGTAAACTATTAATACAAGTTTTTCTAATTACTTTCATAGGATTCAATTCGGTTATGTTTTTCTAATTTTTTGGAGATTCGAAATTAAAAGAATTGGTGAAAAGAGGAAATAATTTTAAGAAGTGTATCTTTATATCAACAGTCACTATCACTAAATCTTCATCACGGATTGAACTCGGTTTTAATGCAACCTAATTGAAACTCTTACATTCTTTTGTTCATATTTCTGACTTAGATATTTATTGAAATATATAAAATTGCAATCAAAACTCAACACTCTATTTTATAGGACTTAGAAAAAGTGTTACCTTAGAATACATTAGCAACAACGTATTAAAGTCTGATGTACCTAATAAAACATTCTGTTAAAATTCAATAGTCACATAAATTTTATCCGCAATTATTTAGAGTTTAATTGATTTGAATTATTCTGAATGTCTTATCATAAAGTTCACCGCATTCTGTTCCTCCTTTGATAGCCTTAGCCTTGAATGTCAATCATTGCATTTGTTATCAGTCACTTGCCTAAAATACTGCACTTACTCGTGTCAAACCTATCTTTCTTGGTAATCTATCTTGGGTCATGTTTACAACCTGGTGATTGCAAGTATTTTTTGGCCGCAGTGACGTATTAAATATCTGTATATTATGTTAATATACAGTAGTTAGTTCATGAAAAACTACTATGAATTGAAATTGATAAAGCAAGTTAGGAGGTTTTTTAATTAGGTGACTGTGCGGAGAACTAGAGACGTTCCATTTCCATAGTTGGGGTGTATCCTGTTTTATAATGGAAATGAATGTGGTTTGTTATGATATTTAGTGATTGTAATGTTGTAAATTACCGCTAAGTTTCGAACACGCAATACTT